TGCACTATATCAAATGCAAGGATTATTATGATTAATTTTTGACTGGCATCTGCTAGTTTTTACTGAGATTGCGTGTCCACCAGTGAGATGTGTAATTTAGTGTTGGGTGGTTAGTGATTTTTTTAAAGAAAAAATAATAACAGCTGTACTCAAAAAAGTGAATGTGGGATCAGAATAGGATTGATTTAAGGAAATAACAGTTGAGCAACTGGACAGTTTTCCGACACATTGCCCACCTGAACGTTACCCCAGACGCAGCCGATACACTCACCCATGAGTTAGTCACATCCCGACTCGACTTTTCAAATGCCCTGCAGGATCCAGCTGATCCAAAACTCTGCCACAGGCACACTCACCGGTACTAAATTCCATCCCCTCATCACACCAGTCTAGCCAAATTCCACTGGCTCCCTATCATTGAACGAATCGATTTCAAGATCCTCACATTCATTTTCAAACCTCTTCATACCCTGGCACCTCCCTACCTCTCCAAACTGCTTATCCCACAACCTACAACCCATTGCTTCCGCTCAACTGGCTCCGGCTTCCTGCATGTCCCTCGTGCCCTCCGCTCCACCATTGGTGGCTGCTCTTTCAGCCACTAATCCCCCAAAACCCTTGAACACTCCTCCTCTATCCCTCTGTCTTGCCCCTTCCTTCCCCATCTTCGAGTTGCACCTAAAGACCTTCCTTTTTGACCGTACCTACGGTCACCTCTCCCTCCCCTCCCCCGGCTCAGGGTCGTGGTCCACCATTGTCAAGTGCTCTGGGATACTTCCCTGGGTGAGGGGTGCTGTGTAAATGCAAGTTGTTGTTGTAGTAGTTGATCGAAAGTTGAAACGTGTGACATTTTTCGACCTATACCGTTTCCTGTGGTGGAATCTATATTACTTGCAGATTAATAGCTACAGAATCACTTGACTGGAAATAAAACCTATTCTATTTGAAATAAAATAAAAATGTAATTTAGAGGAAAGTTAATATTCATCACATAATAAATTCTTGAAATGCCCCAAAGATGAGAGCTTTTGACCTTCAATGCAATCTAAGAACTGTAAGCTGTATTGTCATTTTAAGGCTATTGCCCATTCAATCTGTTTTTACTCAAATCTGTAACCTAATCCAGGAAGGTATACCTCACCAAAGATCAGCTAAGTAGAGTCAACGTTATAAACAGGGATTTTATTTAATAAGATCTAGGATTCTTGTGTAAACGTTGTATAATCGAGAGGCAAAGTCGTGTGGTGCTAAAAGACTGCATTGTTTTGATGCTGTGCTTTAACACTGCAAAACTTTATAGAAGAGTCAATTTATAGTGGGTTTTTTTGTTTGGGGGCGTGGGAGTCATAATGAAACAGGTAAATACACCGGAAGCTTTCAGTTTTCTCTCTGTCTCTGGAGCAAATACCACCAGGAAGATGCATTCTCTGACAGCATGAACTGTGTTACTCAACTTCCTTTCAACAAAATAAAACAAAGTGCAAATGCAAGGGTTATTATTAAAGTGAATTCAGTCAGTCAGTGCTGATGCAATCCGAGAGTTAACAAGTTAAGAAATTGAACCAGGTTAAAAAAATCAGTGACTGAGCTGGGAAGCAGATAGGTTTTAAAGAACAGTAAAATTGCACAGAATTTTAATTTTTTTTCTTTTTTAAAAAAAATAAAGGAATGGAACATATAAGGAAAGCAGACGTTCTTAGACGGCATTTGTACTAAATGTAAGGTGAAATAACCCTGGCAGATTAATAATTATATTACTAATAATCCTTGCATTTGATACAGTGCCTTATCAAGTCAATTCAGGAGTGATTTAGATCATTTCTATCAGGGCCACTGAGGGTGAATGTTAGAGCACTTGTAGAATGGAGAGAAAAGAGGGTTAGGATTTGGTCGACAAGATGACTTTTCGCACATCACAAATATACACACCTTTATTCCGATTGCATTGGTACAAAATTTGCAAGGATTATTGTTAAACCTACGTTGGTTGAAAGGGTTATTTCGCAAAAAAAATGGACACATCAAATTGAATGGGAAGTCTTTCTCGAAGGACCGTTTATTGGGGAACTGGCTTGCAATAGCTCTGGCTGCTGCATTTTAATGTTTAATCACAACCAAACCACCTTCCTTCTTTAGGTTGGGAGTGTCGTGTCGGCTAAGAGGTGAAGAGATGGTCATATTATTAGTCAGTCAAAGTGAACGCACCTCTTTTCGACTTGCGGGAAAACAGCAAACACAGTAGCTGGAGATGGCAATCAGTGATAGGGGGGAAAAAGGCAGACTCCTTGAGCTCTCCTGGCTCCAAAACCACTTGAGGTGAAATCAGAACTGGGAGCTGTTACTGGGACATCAAGTGGAGAACGCTTTCAACAGGCTGCCTGCCCCTCTGTGCTTTCTGCCTTAGTACTTAATGAACATGTCCTCGTAACAGTCATCAATCACTCGCACAGCTTCTGCTTCGACTCTCTGTTACACTGATTGTAGGTGGAAAATAATAATATTGATAATCCTTGCATTTGATACAGCGCCTTATCACGTCTTCGAGACATCTCAAAGCGCTTCACAGGATATACCGTAAAGTGAATTGACTGTGTATTTTCTGGGCGAAATGTTTTACTATTACTCATCAATAATAATAAACAGCACCCTGATATATCGAACACACAGACTGTGAGAGATGGTTAATGTAACCCCTCCTCCACCCCTGCCCTGGGAGCAATCATTTTAAGAAAACTTTTTTTTAAAAGCTTTCTACATTTCACATAAATTTGCGCAACAGGAAAGTTACTCACCTTTTTCTGGATTAAAAAAAAACTCAAAGTAAATATAATAATAATCCTTGCGTTTGATATAGTGCTTTTCACGTCTTCTGGACGTCTCAAAGCACTTAAATATCTCATTGGAGCAAGTTTATCACATCATGTCCTGAGGATTTTGGGGGGGGGTGACCGTTTTGCTTTACACCTGAAAAAATCGAGACAGGTACGGTTTTTTTTTTAAAAAAAGAGAGGTTTTGTGCACCATATCTAACAGGGAACCGAAAATACCAGCGAACTTTTTAATGTAGTTTCATGGAACAGCAGAGATGTTGCAGGTTACACGATAACCCACAAAATACACAGTTAAATCCACTTTACAATATAACCCGTGCAACCCCATTAGACGTTTCAACTATGATAGGTGCTATATCAAACGCAATGATTATTATTGTTATTATTATTACCATCTTTGCGTGGCTTTGCATCTATCTTCTCATAAACCCGCGCAGAAATCATTTACGTTCTCTCCACCATTAACTACTTCCTAGAAACCAGTGACTTTCACCTCATCGACCCGGAGGTTTGGTGTTCTAAAGGGGAAATAGTGAAAAATTACTGCAAAGGCTGTGTTTTCAGCAATATCACAAAATTATTCGCTTTCACTCAAGGAATTTGCGGCAGTCTTTCTATAGCAATGTGTTATATCCCATCGAAAAAATGCACCCCCACCCCCAAAAGGCAACAGGTAAGCCATTTCCAAACCAAAACAGGTTATTTCAGCAATTAATGATGAATTGTGTGCGGAGATGTCGCTATTATTTCTTGCCGACCAATAATTTAATTGTAAGATTGAACGCTAATGCGGAACGCGCTTTAAATTTAATTTAAATTAAAATACTGAAATGTAAGTTTAAATGCATTGTATTGATGGCTGTACACAATATATTAATTTAAAATACGAAATTACCAGCGTCACATCGGCGTCGGGACACATTTGAAACTGATTTGAACACATATCAAAAAGTGAGGTCTAATTCGCGATATTGCTCAGCTCTTAATCTAATATTTCTTGGTGAGAAATTGGCCGCTATCGAACATCTAATACATACATCGAATGCGCTTCAAAATGCACTGCACAGTTGGTCGCTCTCGAAATCTTGGGAATTCGATAACTACACGTCTCCAGTTAGGAAATCTGATTAGAAAACCCGCAAAACATTGTGACTTGCAATCATTCACGTTCCTTACAGCAATCTCACTGTTTCGCCGATTTCTCGTGCGTTCGTTTCTTAGTTGGCAAGTGGCATTTTATTAGTAAGAACAACAACAACAACAACTTTATATGTGTAAGTTGTCGCTGTTGTTTTTACTAATAAAATGGCACTTGGCAAAAATATATTCTGGGATATTCTAAAACTACATGACACCTATTGATCTTTGATGATAACTATTCCGCGAAGAGCTTTGAGGCGTCTCAACAATATGATTTGGCGCTATACCAATGTAAGGGTTATTATCATTAATATTATTATAATAATAATTCGGGGAAAGCCATTCGGTGTGAGATTAATAATCTAACTCGACACTGGATCTTAAAGACAATCAATCGATGGCCACATTTGAATGACATCAAGAACGTGTTTATTTGTAGACAAAAACAATCCCCCAAAACACGAGAAATATCTCATAACGTGAAAATCAGTTTACTGAATGTCATTGATAAGGACACGTGAAATAACGCCTCTCTCTCTCTCTCTCTCTAAAACCAACCATTTTACTGATTCAACTGCAATAATCCCCACCGCCAATACGGGTAAGAAACGCTTTACGCAGTTGAAAATTGACTATTTGTATTTCTGGAGCAAAAATAGTCCTTAATAGAGAATAGAGAATAATCGTTAATTTTTTGACAATTTCATGACAGTTTTTCTCTGATAGAACAATGCTAAAACTTAACAGTTTACAGTGCACAGAGACGCCGTGTGAACTCGTATTAACGGCACAGTCCGTCCTTCATAGTTGAATATACAGTATTATATATGAAAAGATTTCGGTCGCACTAAAGTCAAAAGGGTTTTTTAAAAAAAGATAGTTTGAGGGGGAGTAGAGAGCTGTATAAATATGTAAAAAGAGCTAAAAAATAAGTTGAGATTTATCATTGGAATGTTAGATAGTACTCGACTTCACTCACGAGCTTCGCTTTTAAGGCCACAACAAATTGGAATGACTCTGTGTTTTTCTTTACATAAATCGTTCAAGTCCAGACGGAAAATTTGTCTGTCTCATGTAGGAGCTGTTGGCGTTGAACTGCCCGAGGCCAGTCACAGGTGCGCTCGGTAACCCCAACAGCTGATCGGTGTGGTCAGAGCAAACACTGCTTCTCATGGACGGGAGAGAGAGTCTATTGGAAGGACAGTACATCTGGGGGGTGGGGGGGGAGTAGCTGGTCTGAGCCATGGGCACATGGGGGGGGGACGTGGAGTAGGAATAGGTCAGATTGGCAGTCAGGCTGTTGGGTGGTCTGCTGTTCAGGAGCCCCCCCACCCCGTTGGGGCTCACGGACTGCGATTGGAAACTGGAGGCGTCTGTCCCACCGACGTTCATGGCCCCGAGGTCGCCAGTCAAGGCCAGAGAGTGAGCGGTCAGGTCATTGGCCGCCGAGGCCTGAATGGCGAGGGACTGCTGACTGATCAGCGTGTCGATGCTGAACATCCTGTGCTGACTGTGGCTCTGGCTGTGGCTGTGGCTGTGGCCGGGGGTCCCCGGGGGCTGGTAGTGGTGGAGCACGGCCGGGTGGTGAGGGGTGGGGTGGAGCTGGGAGCCGTACCCCGAGCTCATGCCCGGGTACAGAGTGTTGGGGTAGGAGGGTCTCCCCATCGGGGTGGGGGTGAAGGCGCTGGAGTTCTGCATGTATCCGGGGTAGGTGGTGATGTCCGAGCGCTTGAAGCGCTTCCTCCGCCGTAGGAAGCTCCCGTTATCGAACATGTCTTCCGCCGCCGGGTCCAGGGTCCAGTAGTTGCCCTTCCCGGGGCGGCCCGGCTCCCGGGGGATCTTCACAAAGCAATCGTTCAGGGTCAGGTTGTGGCGGATGGAGTTCTGCCACTTTTTGGAGTTCTCCCGGTAGAAGGGAAACCTGTCCATGATGAACTTGTAGATCCCCCCCAGCGTCAGCTTCCTCTCGGGGGAGTTGGCTATGGCCATGGCGATCAGAGCGATGTAGCTGTACGGGGGCTTACCGCGCTGTATGGGGCGCTTCCTCCTCCTGCCCCCCGCGGCCGGGGTGTGCTCCTCCGGGTGGGCCGCTCCCTCGCCATCCCTGTCCGCCGTCGGGGTGTCGCCCCCGGGCTCGGATTTGATCATGACCCCTTCCTTCCCGGGGGACTCCATACACACGTCCGCCGAGCTCCCCGTGGGGCTGGAGGCTCCCGAAGCCTCGGTGGGAGACTGCTGGGACTCTGCCGTCATGGTGTACAGACCAGAGAAGTAGGAGATATCTGCCAGATTCATAAACTGCAGCCTTGGGTTGTGCCCCGTGTGCAGGCTGGGGTGGTCCGGGGTGGGGTGGGGGGTGTGGAGGCTGGGATCAGGGTTGTCCCTGTGTGCAGGCTGGGGTGGTCCGGGGTGGGGTGGGGGGTGTGGAGGCTGGGATCAGGGTTGTCCCTGTGTGCAGTCTGGGGTGTCTGGGGTGGGGTGGGGGGTGTGGAGGCCGGGATCAGGGTTGTCCCTGTGTGCAGGCTGGGGTGGTCTGGGGTGGGGTGGAGGCTGGGATCAGGGTTGTCCCTGTGTGCAGGCTGGGGTGGTCCGGGGTGGGGGGTGTGGAGGCTGGGATCAGGGTTGTGCCCTGTGTGCAGTCTGGGGTGGTCTGGGGTGGGGTGGAGGCTGGGATCAGGGTTGTCCCTGTGTGCAGGCTGGGGTGGCTGGGGTGGTCTGGGGTGGGGGGGGGTGGAGGCTGGGATCAGGTTGTGCCCTGTGTGCAGGCTGGGGTGGTCTGGGGTGGGGGGTGTGGAGGCTGGGATCAGGGTTGTCCCTGTGTGCAGGCTGGGGTGGTCTGGGGTGGGGTGGAGGCTGGGATCAGGTGCTGAGCTGACGCCACCTGGCTTATATGTCAGTGCTAAAGCAATCTGGCGCCACCCTGTTTACTGTCATTGTGTCAAAGCTTGTCATTAACATGCTCCCCCCCCCCCCCCCCCCCCCCACACACACCCACACACCCACGCACTCATCCCCCCGCCCCCCCCCCCCACACACACACCCACACACTCATCCCCCCGCACACACACTCACCCCCCCCCCACACACACACACACCTCCTCACACACACACACACACACATCCCCCGCCCCCCCCCACACACACACCTCTCCCCCCCCACACACACACCCCACACATACACTCACCCCCCCCCACACACACTCACACACCCACCCACACACACACTCACACACACACACACACACACAAATAGGTACACACAGGGCAACAATAGCCCATTTTGCGCTCAAAGCTCCTTCGAAACTTTTAATGTTTTTATTCTTGTTTTGCTTCAGCCTTTAAGCCATTCTCCAACCGAGAAAAGTTCAAGGAAGTTTTGAAACTGTCTATATATATATGTGTATATATATATATATATATTAAAAATTGATGGTAACCACTACTCTTGACTGAACCCAAGGCATATTTTGAGCAAACTTTTGTAATTTCACATCGCTGTTTGGGAGGAAACTGTGTTGGGATAAAAAAAACATTTATTTCAAGTCGGTGATGTGATGAATGTTGTCGGTGTGACTGAAACATTAACACAGTGTCTACAGAAGGCAGACTGTTTGTGCTGAATATTTAGCGCAATTTAGGTTGCAAGTGGGTAATCCGAGATAATGAAACGATTTCGTAACGAAAGTTGTAAAATATCACAACGATCTAAAATACTCTTTTGGCAGAATAGGAGATGTAACTTTTTTTATTTTAACAAAGACACGAAATTGCTTGAAAGAACAATTTCTAGTTTCTTTGGCAGCTATATTGTGACTTGTTTGAAATTCGAGATAAAAGTTATGGAACTGAAAGTGGACGTTTTCCTCCTAAAATCGTTCGATGTTAATATTGTACACCTTAACCTCAATACGTCAAGATTAGAAATTTGTCCATCGATTAATAAAACCTGCCAACTGTTGTTTGGGTTGTAGTTGTATCGGTAACTCTGCCAAAAAAAATTCAGGGTTGTGTTTCTGGAAAAATATGTTAGTTGCATCGCAGATAAACATAGTGAGTTCGATATGATGCCGATGATATATCGAGATAAATGACGATACTGTCACAATTATGGGCATATTTGTAGTTTATAACAGGACTAACATTCAACTCGCTCCTATCTGCATTAGGCAAACACAGGGGATAGGGAAATTCATTGCTTTAATAGCCAAGCAAGCAGTCACCACACTTCACAACAATTCCTTGGAAGCGCTTTGAATGTTTTTTTACATTAAATTAAAACATACTGAAATTTTAAATTATAATTTTTTAACCTTGCTTTCAAAGAGAAGCATTGCTAAATATTTCTATTTCTTTGTCACAACTAATAACGAATATCTCAGCACTTTAAGACAAGAAAGTGTATCGATGTGTCTCTTTTTATAACTCACCCTTCTTCAAAGTTCGGAGAAAATACATTTAATGGTAATTCTCTTCTCCATTTCCATTTGTGTCGGGATTATAATCTCTGCAATAACATAACCTGCAATAATTATGAACTCTGCAGTAATTATCATCTCTGCAATAATTTCCTACATAAAACTGTCCATTCACTTCATGACTTTCTGTGGGGCATGTTTCTGCGCGCCCCGCTCGCCCACCAAACTGCAGTCACTACACCTCACAGAAAATCCCTTTGAAGCGCTTTGAGGCGCCCTCCCCGTGTGAAAGGCGTTGTGTCAAATGTTTTGATGATGGGGTGGGAGCTGGAGACCCAAAGTCTCAATCCATTCGGGTTATTGCATAACCGCATCATTTCCATATTCAGGAAACCTTCGATGGTGGATGTGATTGATGTACATATGTGTATGTGGGGCAGGATTTTTCAAGATCAATGCTTTACCCTTTCCCATCGCTGTGTTTTGTCTTTAAATCGTTTCTTTGCAATAAACCTTTCCCTGTGGCAGTGTGGCCTTGGACATAAGGCCATGGTTTGCTGGATGGCGAGTGTCAGCCAACCACAGAGAACCCACACCAAGGCAGCCATCCGGCTCACCAGCCCTCCCTCCCTCCCTTCACCAAAGCCCAACTAAACCCAATGAAAGCAACCAGACAGTCCATCTCCGGAACAGGGCTCCTCCAGCCCCAGATCACAAGTAAGGGATGGATTTTAGCAGAAGTTGTTTTCTTTTTTTAAAAAAAACGGAATTCCGCAACCTAATTGTATTAATAAAATGAATAATATCCTAATTTCTGGTTTAGAGCTGTATGCATTCGGGTTCAATCGTAACCTTTTGAGTGGAATAGTTGGAAAGGTTCAGTGAAGTAGTTGGAAAGTTTTATGGCATAATTAACAGCTTAAAGTGGTTTTTAATCACTGCATATTTATATTTCATGCACCATAATGACAATAACAATACTAATCCTTGCATTCGGTGTAGTCTTAAACTTCCGAAGAAATAATAATAATATATATTTGATAATAATAATATAAGAACAGTATATTTTCTTCCATTTTTACGCTGTTCACTATGAAAGCAGATCCGGTCTGTAATTTTCAAAAATTATTATCTCAAGTTATGAACCAGCGAAATAAATCAGTTTAAAATATATAGGAAAGGGAAAAAATACTTCAGGATCTGATCGATGTGCGCACGGAATATCATTTTATGGAGGTTAATTAATGATCGAAAGTTAAACTGTCATAGATACGATTAAGGAAAAAACAGTCGCGGATTTCCATCAAACTATTTTATGACACATTAAATTAGAGATATCTGAGAGCAGTGAACAGAAAATTATTTTCAATTGTTGGTTGTCAATTTTGAGATACTACACATATTTCAGACGAAATTTCTTACATCGGTGAAAGGATCGGAGGTAATAGACACAGAGAGTGCGATCAAATATCTTCTGAAAATCCCAATCCTGTACTGTATACTAGAGAATTAGGATAGAGAAATAAGAACTTTTTTCGGAAAATAGTTTGCCAATTGAAATATTTTCCTTGCGAACCGACTTTTAGCGAAATCTTGCTTACTTTAAATATTGTTCTCCCATCACGAAAACGAAAATCGATTGGAAATTCTGCATTGGAATTAATTTGGAAAGGAAATTAAGTTTGTTTTTCATAAAATATTCCATTTGCCGCAGCCCTTCCTTAGATTCCAAGTTCAGAAGCGAGTAACCGTGTGGGGCTATTAGCGAATCAAATACGAATAAAAGGGAGGTGAGGTTTGATTTTACAAATTGAGAAGGAAATATAAGGCGCCATCACATTAAAACATGCCAATAGTTGCAAGAACTTGGGGATGGGGCGGATAAAGTGACATCTTATTGAACAGCCAAAACATTGATTAAATCATAACTCAATAAATTGCTAAAATCATAAATAAATCAGCTAAAACAGCTGAAATATTGATGGGCAAAAATGATCAGAGACAATGCCCAAATCGTCAGAACCATACAAAATGTATGGAGTCAGATGCAGAAGTTGGAGCAAACTGTTTTGGGGGCAAAAAATGTATTCTGTTGGAGCTTCTTGCAAACCACCCGTTTCATTGTCACTTGAAACAAGAAGCCATTTTAACTTTGATTAACTAGTACCAGCAAAAAGACGCTATTCTCCCCTCTCCCTCTTATTTGGTAAAGTCTTTAGCGAGGACACCCATCTCTCAAGATTAGTGGCGAATCCTCACAGCTCTGACCCTGTAGATTAACGTTGAACAACTTTGGGCGCCTCCTAGTGGCTGTACACAGAATTACTAGTGGAGGTGGCCAGCAGATCAGTCGCTTGACCAACACATGTCTGGGCAAAGCTGGGAAAATCAACACGGTAATGTAGGAAAAAATGCAAGCGAAAAGGAGATAAACACATTGTCGGCGCCTATAATAATAATCCTTGTATTTGATACACCACCTTATCACGTCGTTGGGATGTCTCAAAGCGCTTCACAGGACATTCTGTAAAGTGGAATGACCGTGTATTTTCTGGAAGAAACACGGCAGCCAATTTCACGCAGCAATGTCCCACAAAAAGCCATGGAGGGAATGACCAATTTTATTTTGGGGGACTGTTGGCCAGGACACAGGGATGGAGAAACTCCCTTCTCTTTTCAAATAATGCTACGGGACCTTTAATGTCCACCTGAACAGGCAGATGAGACCTTGGTTTAATATCTCATCTGAAAGAGTCTAACTCCGACAATGAAACACCCTCCCAGCAATTTATTGGAGCGTCAGCTTAGACTATATGATTCCATGTCACAATGTGAGGCTTGAACCCACAACCTTCTGAACATAGTACTGCAGTTCAGTTA